CATCTTGATATAAATCACTGATTGAATTTAAAAATAAATTTGTTAATTGAGAATTTTCATTTTCATCTAATAATTTTTTATCAAATATTGATATGATTCGATGTAAATTATCGATAATAGCAAAGGCAAATGGTTTGTTTTTTAATAATCCATAAGGAGTCGCTTGTTTTAAATAGATAAGTAAACGTTCAATTGTATCAGCATATTCATTTGATTTTTGAAATAACGATAAACTTTTTAAATCATTCACAAAATCATTTGTTGCCGTTTCATAATGTACACTACTCCATTCACCACTCATTTTGTTTTTTCTTGTATTTTATGCCATATTAATCCTTTGCATACATATATATATATAAATGTTCTTACCTTCAGATTATAAATACGTCATTTTATTTTATGAAAATGGGGTTAACATATTATGCTAATAGTATATTGATATTAATGTGTCATATTGACGTAGACGAAAAAAAATGAGCAAAATTCTTAGGACAATGCTGAATCATTTTAATCGCTCTAAGACTTTATTTTATCGGATGAATAGCCACTTTTTTTTCGTGTACTGTACTGTACTTACTGAATATCTAAAGTACACACAACCACGCATAGAGAAAATGATGAAAATTGGGTATTTAATGCGCAATAATGGCATATTTATTTTCTAATTCAGTTTTATTTAACTAAGAATTGAATAGACCAAATGATTCTACCATTTATAAAAAAAAGCCTAGAAAATTTTTGTAACTGTCTGAGAATTTTTTCTCTATTTATAACCATTCGTTCGTATATAATTTTACAGTATATGTCAATAAAGATTTATCCCGATCAATTGTTTTACATTGATTAAACTTGACAGATCTAATTTTGTTATGAATTTCTCATATTATTCATGAAATATTGGATTATCGTTATTTTGATTTGACTAGAGACATTATGATGTATAATCTGTAGCATCTTATAAAATTTATTTCATAAGAAAAACAATATTTTTGTTCAATTATTTCGCATATAATAAAGAGAATATGATCATTGGGTTTTTCGCGAATTTATTTTCAAAGTTTAGTATGATTCGACGCACATTAATCTTTCTTTTTATCTTGTTCGGCCGTCATGATTGTCGTCGGACGTCTAACTTTACCTTTTCCGTCCGCTTGTTGCTATAGACTGATTTGAATGATATCAATGAACAAAGCAAATTATATCTGGTAGCATTTAAGCATGTATGTAGCAGTTGAGCATTCAGTTGTGAGCTGCATTTCTTTTTTGCAAAGATATTCAATCAATTACAACAAGTATGCGAAGTATTATTAGAGTTAATTTAATTATATAGTAAACAAATATTTTGAACGAATATTAGAAATTGAAGTGGGGTTGTACTTGAAAGCGTTGATTCTCATAGGAATATAGTCTTTTTTTTAATTGAATTGTATTGTCTTCGTATACATAATGTTCGATATTACTACTCAGAAGTGAATAGAGAGAGTCATCTTTCATCTGAAAATCGAAATTCTCCTAAAATTTCTCATTCATATATATAAAAAGAGGGCGCTTTTGAAAATATTCTTTTCTATTGGTTCATCGAACACCATCGCTTTGTCTGTGTAGTTTGACCCGAACGCTTGATCACATCAGTCGTCCATCTGACAACAATACTAAGCTAGATAATGATTATTCCATTCAAATATTTTAGATCATAAAAACAATGCCATTACTTCCAAGTCCAATACCTCCACCGGTTTTTGATTCTGATGAATCTGATGTAGCTAGTCAACAATCAACTGATAGTAGTAGTTATTTATCATCTCAATTTACCCAACATACACGTCTATCCTATTCACCAAAATATATTCTAAATCAACAATTATCAATACATTTTGATGATTCATTAAGTAATCAAGATGATTCATTAAATTTCGACTCAATATTATCAACTAAACCAATTTATAAGAATAAAAAACGTAAACGAAGTCATGATAAATCGGAAGAAAAATCACTTCATACACCTAATCAATCACCATATACCCGACGTAAAAATCTTAGTTATGTACAAGAAAATACATTTCAATCACCTAAAATTCACCGTCGAAGTCGTCAATGTGATGAATCAATACATATTCCAACAACAACATTTTCTAATCTTATTAATATTAATCCATTTGTTAAACATCGTTATCATACACGTCTTGTTGCTAAACGTCAATCACTTATTTCATTATCAATTCAACGATTTGAACAAGAATTTCATCATGATTCATTTCTTGGTCATGGTGAATTTTCTCATGTTTATTTATGTACTAATCGTCTTGATGGTTTAAACTATGCGATAAAAACATCGAAACAATCAATTATTGGTACTAGTTATGAACAAATAGCATGGCGTGAAATATGTGCATATGCAATATTAACATCACATGAAAATTTAGTTCGTTATTATTCCGCATGGATTGAATTAGATGGAAGATTTTTTATTCAATTAGAATATTGTAATGGTGGTTCATTAGAAGATTTAATTGAAAAAAATCGACAAATTAATGAACAAGAATTAGTAAATATTTTACATCAATTATCAGATGTCTTATCTTTTCTACATGGAAAAGATTTAGCACATTTAGATATCAAACCATCAAATATAATGATATGTCAATATTCAGAAAATAATATACGTTATAAATTAACTGATTTAGGACATATTAGTCAAATAAGTTCATGTACAATTGATGAAGATGGTGATAGTCGATATTTAGCATTAGAAAGTTTACAAAAATCACATACAAAGAAAATTCAATTAGATAAATGTGATATATTTTCATTAGGATTAACATTATATGTATGTGCAACAAATTATAATCTACCTAAACAAGGTAATGAATGGCAACAACTTAGATTAAATATTACGCAATATTTACATTCAATTACACATTGTTCGAAACAATTTAATGATTTATTACTTGAACGTATGTGTAATAGTGATCCTAATCAACGACCATCAGCATATGATGTAAGTTAAAAATTGATAATTTAATCGTAATTAAGTTATATTCTTATTGAGTGATTGTTGAATCCTAAGTGCTAGATTCTTATCTATTGATCTAGAGAGTCATCGCCAGAAAATATATGAATAAGAATGATTGGTTCTTTGTTGACATTTATTAGCATGTGTTCATATATATTCGCTGAATTTAATGTCGCATGTGTTTCCGCTAGTATTCTCACTTCCTGAAGGCTAAAAACAAGTCGAAATGGAGATAAATGCATAGGAAGATAGCTTGAAGTTTACTCTTTCAGAAACACTATGATCTTTATTTGGTGTGTCTCTTTTTTTAATGATTTAGGCCATGTTTTACTGGAAAAATAGGCTTTTTTCTCAGTAAACAGTTCTGAGCGCGCATCCAATATTTGAAAATTTTTTGTTTTATTTGAAGGAGCATGTCAAGGAGCAGTGCATGATGAAGTCATTTTTTTAAAAATAAGTTTTGCTTTTATTTTATATACAGACACATTTTTTAAGAGTTTTGAAGTCATTAAAATTGTGTCTTCTTTTCGTCGCTAAAAAAGTAATTTTTTAAAAAAACCGACTTCATCATGCACTGCATCTTGACGTGCTCTTTCAAACAAAAAAATATTTTTAAATATTAAACGCTCCTTAATCACGAAATTTTGGATGCCAAATCAGCTATTTTTGAGACTTGCTCTGTTGGTATCTCTGGAAAACGTCGTAGGATCGGACCGAAAAGATGAGTTTTTGAGGGGGAGGCTTAGTGATAGTTCTTACCAAAAATTTCTTCAGCTAGAATTTTAATTAAATTATATTTTATTTTAGTTATTACTTGATCCTACTGTCAATCCAATCGAACCAACAAGTCGAGAATCTCTTCGGTATGTTTTTATATTCTAATTAAATTGTAAAAATAATAAGTCTAAATTTTTCTTAGACATAGTTTAAAACAAGAACGTGAAAAGAATTTATTATTAAATAAAAAATTACTTGATCATTATCTTTTCTCAAATTCTTATGATGTACAAATGTTACCTAATGATATACAATTTCAACAAGGATTTCTTTCTCCATTACAATCAATACTTGTTCCACAGGAACAAAATGTATCGACACCTAATAATCATTCGCGAATATTATTAATTAATTCACCAAATACACCAATGTGTTGTACAAATCTTAATAATCAAACATTAATATCTCCTGGACATTGTGGTTCATTTGCAATGAAACAAATTAAATTAACCGGTTCAAATATGTTTCGTCATTACTCCAGTATTATTTAAATCAAGATATGATAAGCCATATAGAATTCTATAATAAAATAATTGTAATTTCTCTATTTTTTTCAATTATAAGATAGTAAAAATCATTGTATATATATACACTCATGTTTAAGTGTATTTTTCTTCTGTATATATATTTGATTTTTGTTAAAATATCATTAAGTAAATATCTCTGATATTATTGTATTTTCGATTTTCTTTTTCCTTTTTGTTATTAATAATCAAGAAGATATATAATTGATATTTTTGTATGTATACTTTTTTTTGTTTTTCTCGCCATTACCTTGTTTAATTCTCGATTATTATTAGATATACCTATTGATTTTGTTTTTGTATTTTTCTTGCATTTACTTATTTCAAAAATACTGATATGATAGTAATAATAATAATAATAATAGTATGAAAAAATATATTGTCGTTCTTTTTTTTTAATTTTAAAGATGTATGAAAAAGAAATAGTTTAAAATTATGTTACGTATAGATTTGTGTTCTGTTTAATATCCTAATAACTCTCTCATTTATATCTTTTTCTATCTAATTAAATAGTCATTCTATTTTTTAGAAAATATCAACGAAAAATAAAAACAATGACAATATTTAATCTTTATACAATAATTATTTTAATTTCTATTATTATATTGACATATTTTCTTGTGCAATATGTTCTCAATGACAAACAAATCTATACAATAAAATATGGACTTTATGTTAGTTCCATTATGTTAATATCTGTAATACTCATACCTGTATTTCTTATTCGAGCACGTAATGTAATAAATATACGTTTAGCAGCACAAGTTCTCAATCCTATATTGAATTTATTTGGTATTAAATATCGTATTGAAAATGCCAAAGTCTTAGATAAAGAAGAATCTTGTGTTATTGTTGCTAATCATCAATCATCAATTGATTTCATTGGCATGATGAGACTTTGGCCAGAACATATACGATATTGTACAATTTTAGCAAAAAAAGAATTAATTTGGGCATTACCATTTGGTTTTGCAGCATGGTTAACTGGTTTAGAATTTGTTGATAGAAAAAATCGTGAACGTTCAAGTGAAACCATGCGTCAAGTAACAAAAAAAGTTCAAGATAAATCATTAAGATTATGGGTTTTCCCTGAAGGTAAACTATTCAAATAAAATTATAACTTTCTATAACTTTCCTGTAAAATTAGGAACACGAAATATGGCTGATACATTTCTTCCATTTAAATTCGGAGCTTTTCGTCTTGCAATTGAAGCACAAGTTCCTATTGTACCAGTCGTTTTCTCATCATATAAACCAATTTATAATGTTGATAAAACAAGTAAAAATTATTATTGGCGTGAAGGTTGTGTTACAATAAAATGTCTCGAACCAATTAATACAAAAGGTATGACAGTTGAAAAAGATCTACAACAATTAACTGAAATGACTCGACAACGAATGATTGAAGCATATCAAACGATTCATACAACTACTAGTCAAAACAAAAAGAATAATTAATTTTATCAGATAATCAAGTATAAAAATAAAAATAAGTCATTAGAATTTAGTGAGCCAAAAAAAACCAGTTTGCTTTCCCCTTGTATTGTTTTCTTTTCTTCTTTTATTATGAAATGAATGAGTATTGAATAATCTTCCTTTTATTATTTTGTGTGTCTATGTAATTTATCCGAGATATATTTATATATATATACATATGTGTTACAGTGCATCTATTTATTTTTATTTTATCATTTATAAGAAAATATTATATTAATAAACTAGATACATATATAAATAGATTTTGATTTTTATGGATGTGAATTATTAAGAACACGTTGGATACAAAGATAAAATCGCCTAATGTAAAATTTTTATACGAAAGTATATTTTGCCTTTCTATGAAACATTCTCGAACCATTCACTTAGAATTAATTAAATCATCATCGAACATCTTACATAAATTGCTAATTTGATAAACAAAATTTATAGAGACCGAGTCTAGCAATATGGTAAATATTGTTAATGGAATGAATGGTGAACAGTTATTCTATTCTTGTTTACGTGTATCAATAATGGCAAAAAGATATTTATATGGAAATTTTGTAATTTATTCTAGATGATTAAATTGATATCTATGTTAAATTACATTTATCTAACGAATCGAATAAAATTCAAAATAATTACTATTGATATTGTCGAAAGTCTTAATAATGAAGAGCGAAATTCCCAAAAATCTTCTTCTATTTCATTGCTAATAATACTCAAATTCGTTTTTGAGAATTAAGAATTGAAAGTACTGGAATATGACTCTATACTATTTTGTTACATCAAATCAATTTTGGAGTGTTCAACATCGAAGATTTTAAAAATATATAGTTCACTTTTAATAAAAGATCTTCTATTTTTAGATGACTGAAGAGGAAAATGAATCTCATCAATTGTCTGATAACAGTGAAACAACAGCATTAACACAGGAAAATTCTATTGAAACTAAGTAATATATATTAACTAATTGTTCTGCTGTTGTCAGTTTAAAGATAAATAGTTCTTTTGGTTTTATTTAATTGAACAGAGTAGCGTCTTCATCTATCATTAAAGGCGTATGTGATGATAATTTACTATATGGAAAATGTGAAAATATCGATTGTGATCAATTACATCTTACAGAACCTATTCAACTCATTGATGGTCATTTTCATGATCGATTACTTAATGACAATTGGTCATGTACTATCGAATTATTGGAAAATATCGAACAGTTCATTGGTATTACAAATGTTCATAAATCTTCAATATGGGATACTACATATTCTATTATACCCGAATCTCTTAAATCTAAAGTAAGTTTATCAACTGTAATCAAGGGGACAGTAGTGGGAAATGAAACATCAAGACAGCATATCAGATTGATACATATTTGAATTTATGCAATCAGCTATCTGCTAATAAAAACTATTCTTTTTCATTACAAGATTCGACTTTATGAAGCATATGGTATTCATCCACGTTATTTAGGTAATAATCCTCATAATGATTTACTTCGTCTTCGTGATTTAGTACAAACACGTCCAATGGTTGGTATAGGTGAATGTGGTCTTGATTTACTTAATAATGAACAATTACCATTACAAATTGAAATATTTATATCACAAATCAGATTAGCAAATGAATTTCATTTACCACTTATTATTCATTGTCGTCAATTAGATCAGCAATTATTTGATATTTTAAAAGCAACAGCAATAGATTCATCAATGAAAATTCAATGGCATTGTTGTCATTCGAAAGGTACATCAATTTATCGTGAATTTTTAAATTATTTTCCATCGAGTTTATTAAGTATTGGTGGAATGTGTTGTCATTCAGGTGAAAAACATTTACAAACATTACTTAAAGAATTATATGAAACAGAAAATCAACGAAGATTTGTATTTGAAACAGATTCACCCTATTTAAAATCATCATCATTATTAATTCATACACAAAATAATTGTCCAATATTAGGTATATTAGCAGTTAGTGCTTATGTAACAAAAGATATTCTAGGAAACGATCAATGGACAAATAATCTGAAAATAAATACAAATATTCTTCAACAATTTTTTAATCTAAGATAAAAATTTTGTTTTTGTGATAGAGTATTTTTGATGAATAGTATATATCATGAAGGATTGTTTTGTAACTTTTAGATGGCACAAGATTCATTGGTATCTAATAAATTTCGTATAGGTACTGTTAATGTTCATTCTTTTCGAAGTCCATTCTCTCGAAAGAGTAATGCAAAAGTATTAGCATCAATTCTTGCTCCATACAATCTTGATATACTCGCTGTTGAAGAAATGCGTAATGATAATAATAATTGGACAACTCTTCATGAACAATTATCATTAAATTATTCAGTTGTAGGATTAAGTGGTGGATTATCTTTTGGTAATGCTATTGCTTCTCGTCATCCTATCATTCAACATTCTAATCAAATAACACAAGAACGATATACAGGTGGTAGTCGAGCAATGTTACAATGTCGTCTGGGTGGTAATCATTCTTTCGTTCAAAATCGTACATTTGCTGTTACACATCTAGATCATTTTGATGAAGATGATCGTATAACACAAATTAAAGAATTTATTCCAGATTCTAATAATATAAATATTCTTCTAGGTGATATGAATGCATTAACACAAGAAGATTATTCCGATAAATATCTACATGATATAATTATTAAAAAACGAGAATCGAATGGATGGGAACAACCAAGATTTGAACTGATACATTTATTAACTAATATATGGGGTTTTGAGGATACTTTCCGAAAAATGAATTCAAAATTGAAAGATACACATGTTGTAACATGTTCATATGGAAGTCGTATTGATTATATATTTCATCGGCCTTTATTAAATGATGAATGGGAATTAACGGAATGTTTTATTGTAGATACACGTCGATCAACTGATCATAATGCTATTGTCGCTACTTTTGAACGTAAATTGTAATCTTTTTTGTTTTGACTGACATTTTTGTTGAGCATACATTGCCTATATGTACAATAACTGATGCATAGATAAAAAGTTTTAACAATAGTTTATATAACAAAAAGGCCATGAGAGAATGTCATTCAATGGAACAATAATAGATCTATCAATAGCTTGTTAATCACGTTATCATTACTTAAAAAAAGATATTTTTTGTTCTGTCTGTCTGTATTTATCCTACACTTACGTAAAACAATTTGCTTGAACTTTACTCGGAGCAAATGTTCTTTGCATGTCAAACTTTGAGATCATTGTCACGGATACTATTTTCTTCATTAATAATCATATGCATATAATTCTTCTAGCATTTATATCACTGTATATTTCCTCAAGGATAAACTCTAGAATCACTTAGTCAGAGAACAGAGACGAGTAATTAATAACCTATCATTTCAAATGATATATCCTAAAAATAACTGTCTAATCATATGAGTTTTTTAATGAACATCTAAGAGATGGATATAAAATATCATTGAAGTCATCTTTGTGTTTGTTATATAGAAGTTAATCGAAAACAGTCAAGTTAAGTGAGCTCCAAATTTGAAGTTTACAAATTTTCGATAAGTTGTAGCTTGTAACTGTGTACTTTTTTTCTTAGGCATCATAAGTCGACTTAACACAGCCTAGAGTATCTATTAGAGCAATGAAAAACAGATGATTACAGTTTTTAGGTAGAGTTTTTCGCGAAAACTTAGACATCCGTAAACTCCAAATTTGAAGCACCTTTGACTTGACCATCGAAAATTTATCTGATTATTGATTCATGAACAAACTTTAATCGTAAATCATGTTGCTCGGCCTATTTCAATAGTATGTCGTTTTATCCTAATTTGATTTCTTAACGTTGAATAAAGAATATGTTATGAGATTTTTCATATTATCTAACACGTACTGATACTTACATCTAAAAGAAAAAGTTTGCTTAATTACAATTGACTAATTGTATACAAATATAATTATTGAACAAAAAAAAAAGAATTGTTTTTTCTTGCAAATACCACACATGTATGAGAATTCTTTAGTTTATCAAAAGAAATAATCTGTATAAAACAGCGTTTGTTTTTCTTCTTATTTATGTAATACAGAAATTGATTGAGCATTTTCGTCTTGTTGGTCTTGACGTGTTTGTGTGACCTGTAATAACTTTGAATAATGATGTTGACGACTAAAAATGCATAAGATATGAGAAGAATTCATTCTATAATATATACATACATTCTTTGAAAACAACATATAGTTAAAGAAAAGACGATTGCGATTATCGATATTCCCAATAGAACAGATAATAATCGACTAGTTCGATTAATAACTGAATTTTGATGAGAATGAGTCGTTGCATAAGTTATTGTAGTTAACAATTGATTATCATGCAAATGTTCAACATCAATTTTAGCTTGCAAGAGTGCACCTAAAAATAAATTATTCATTATAAAATAAAACAAAAATATCAATACTTGTAAGAAGGGCTGTATAATTATATATTGGATTATCATCTGTTTCATTTAGTAATGGTTTATCAGCAGTAATAGTCATACATATTGATGATGAACCATTTCGAATAGTATCAAGTAAATGAATATTATCGATACCATAACTATTTTATTTTTGAATAAAATTATATACATATAAGAATATTTAAACATACTCTGCATCACAATCTGTATCATGTCTACACAACTTATTTAAATGTTCAACAATTGTTTTTCGAGTTTTATACCACATATATTCTTTATTCCACTAATATTATAAATAATATGTAATAATACTTTTTTTTAAAGATATCTTACTGATTCTATTGTAAAACCATCAAATGTAACTGAAACTGGTGATGTAGTTTCAATCGTATCTATAAATATCATAATAATATTGTTATTATAACGTGTTTCATTTTTTTTACCTGTATGTATAATTTGTGTAATAATTAATAATAAAATAAATAACATCATCTTATAATTATTATTTGAACTTTATGTATATGGTTATCTAAATAAGTATCTATGATGATGGGATGTTATTTACTTTGTTCTTCGTATATGTTGATGACCATTAATGTAACATGGAAGATGATGATGATGATTTATCTTTTCTGCTATTAAGAGAAATACTGTCCAATATAAAGAAAGAAGAAGAGAATATATTTTCTCTTGTCTTCGATCTATCGAACATACACATACGTCTACATATTGTGATCCTTCTCTCTAGAGTTTGTCTATTCATTGATATGAATTATTGATGCATTGAATTGCATTCTTTTCTTTTTAATTTATGTAGCGAACATCTGAGCAAAAATCAATCATATAAAATAAATAAGAAAAAAAAATTGCGAATATTATTTAAATATGAATAATATTATATTTAATGAAATAATAATCATCGATTGTAAGATTCTAACTATCGGATGAATAAATCTCTTGTTCGAGTTAATAATCATTCCAGATGTTTTACGATATCAAACAGAATTGGTATTGAGAAAAAAATTAACGTTTATGCTATAATGAACAATACTCTATGTAGTAAAAGACTACGGCTTACTACTAAAGGTCTTAATTAACAAGCATAAAAATTTCTTTTGATTATATTTAATTATTAATCTCGATGAATATCATAATCGATTTTAATTTATTCAAATGATAGTAAAGTATATGTATACGCGTATGAGACGCACATTTTAATACATTATAGAAAAATATTTGTTTTGCAATCTAAATTATGTTTTTAACGTGTTAAAATATACACTTATTATGTGTAAAAACATTGTATTTGTCGTTATTCGTCTGACTGGATTAAGAAGGGACACACGAACTTTTAAAGTACACCATATTGATTTGTATTAAAAAATCCGAACCGTACAATAAATTCATATAGACTTAGAATAGAAAATTTCAATTATTTTTTTTAATGCAGTGGATTACATTTCGATTACTTTTAGTTTATCGCGACACGATTATATTTGCTTTACTTTTCTTTTCTTTTCGATTCTCTAAGACATTATATTATCTATGCACTTTTAAATATTATTTAAATACCAATAGGATTCGTACAAGTGCAAAATCCATCTTATTCTCCTTGTATTTTTAATCAAACGCTTAGTAGTAGTAAGTTTTATTTTCTAATGTATTAATACACATATTTATCTAATTCAACATCACGTGACTTTTACTGACACAAGAGTTATATTAATTTATTGTCTACGCATCGTTTCATTGTTTATCATAAAGCTATATAATCGAATATAAAAATTACCATATTCGCTAAGAACACACTTTATATTTTATGTTTGTTTTTGACATAAATGATTCGATTTTTCTTTTAGTCAATCGAATAACAATAAATTCGATTAGATAACGTTTTAAAATTATTTCTATTATAAAAATACAACTTCGAAATATTTTTTAAAATTGTTATCAGTCCGTTTTCTTTGTCTTGTGATCAATATTTATTTTTGTTATGATTACATTCTGCTTTGTTGTCTGCAAACGAGTCGACCTTCTCACGTTTCTTTATCTTTTTTTTCACATACATACTAAAATTTAAATGAAAAGTTAAAACCCATTTGAAAATACAAGGGCAAATAGTAAAAAACATATTGATTTATTATTCCTTCATGAATCTATCTTGTTTTTTTCTTCACATGAAATTTAGTATATATGTTAACGCACATTGTCTATATTTTATTTTCGTTTCTAGATTAAATATGTCGTCGTCATGTTGTAAAAAGGGACCAGGTCATGCTAGCCCACTTGATGCAATGAAAAATGGTGAACATGAAAAAATCTTATATCTTGCAATGGTTTCATGTCAAGATGATCAACCTGATTATTTAAATACCATTGATGTTGATCCAAATTCACCTACTTATCAACAAGTTATAAGTCGATTATATTCCCCAAATATAAATGATGAATTTCATCATTTTGGTTGGAATGCATGTTCATCATGTCATGATGATTGTAGTAAACAACGACGATTTATTGTATTAGGTGGTTTTAAATCTTCGAAAATCTATATTATTGATACAGCTAATGAAACTAAACCAAGTATACATAAAATAATCGATAGTGATGAATTAAAAAAACTAGATTTAAGTGCACCACATACAGTTCATTGTTTAGGTAGATAAGAAATTTTTTAGAAATAAATAAAATTAATTCGATTTAATTTATTAGGTAGTGGAGATATAATGATTTCATGTTTGGGAAATGCTCAAGGTGAATTACCAGGTGGTTTTGCATTACTTAATGAAAATTTTGAAGTTACCGGTCGATGGAATGATAAAAATGCTCCAGATGCTGTTCAGTTTTATTATGATTATTGGTATAAACCAAGATATAATATAATGGTTAGTAGTGAATGGGCAGCTCCAAATGTTTTTGAAAAAGGTTAAAAAAAAAAAGAAATTCGATTTATTAAATTATAAATAATTTATTTATTTAGGATTTAATCCAAATGATGTTGCTTTAAAGAAGTATGGTCAGTCATTACATTTCTGGGATTGGTCAAAACGTGAATATTTAAAAACAATTGATCTTGGACCAGATGGATTAATTCCACTTGAATTACGTTTTTGTCATAATCCAACAACTCCTATTGGTTATGTTGTTTGTGCATTAGGTAGTTCAGTATTTCGATTTTTTCAAGATAAATCCAATGAATGGCAAGTAGAAAAAGCTATACAAGTCGAAGCATTAACTGGAAATGATGGACAACCAGTACCAGCCATTATATCTGATATGCTTATTTCATTAAATGATAAATTTAGTATGTTTATTTTATATATAGAAATTATCAATTTAATTTTGATTTTATTTAGTTTATTTTTGTAATTGGTTTCATGGTGATGTTCGTCAATATGATATAAGTAATCCAGAAAAACCAAAATTAACTGGACAAGTTTGGCTTGGTGGTTTAACTAAAACTGACAATGATTTTGAAGATAATCGTTCAATTCATGGTGGACCACAAATGATTCAATTATCACTTGATGGTAAACGTTTATATGTAACAAATTCTCTTTATTCATCATGGGATGATCAATTTTATCCTGGAATAAGAAAAGATGGATCTTATTTAGCAAAAATCGATTGTGATAGTGAAAATGGTGGTATGAAACTTGACCAAAATTTTTATATGTCATTTAAAGATGAACCTAATGGTCCAGCACGTGCTCATGAAATGCGTTATCCAGGTGGAGATTGCACTTCGGATATATGGAATTAAATATATATTCTTAGTTTTTGGATTTTATATTAATAAATTTTAGTTGGTTGATGAAAGAAATAAATACAATCGATAGTTTTAACAAAGAATTTTATTTTCTTACTTTTATTAGAATTATCATATAAAGAAGTTCCTTTATAGAGTGAAAAGATAACATGTTAAAAGAAAATAATATGAAGACTTGTAAAATAAGATGCACAAGTATAACCTTTCAAATATTGTTTTAGTAGATTCATACTTATTGTTACAAGCATGAAAAACTAAAATATTAGAATTATTGGCTATTAAATTAAATACACACAAGTTTGTTTTTATGTTTCTTAACTTAATATTTGCATTTAGGTTTTTGATGGTATAGGATAACATTATAATATATAATTGTTGATGCATTAGATATTATCTGAAAAAATAAAACTTGTTTTCTGCTTAACGAACTCTTATTAGAACTTTAAAGGTATTCTATTCATTTAATATGGATGACTTTATCAATGGTATGAAATATTCTTTAATACTGAAACAGAAAGAATAATTCATTCTATTGATAGAATGAACTTTTTCTATTCGTCTATGTTTCTGTTCAGTGTATTTCTTTGTTATTTAACACAACGAAATTCTACTTGTTCAGACATAATAATGTAGCCCTGAAGATCTTTTCTACAATACATCTTTTCAATATATATTGTTTACCTTATCGGTGAGTGTTACTGTTCGTATTGTGTTCTCAACAAGAACAGAGTTCAATAGAGACACATTTTCTTTTTCATCAGTTTTATTTTACTTTCAATAAAAAATACAGAAAGAACTTATGATTTCTCTTTTATGTCTTCGAGGTTTTCTCTATAAATTTTAAGATTAGGATGATTTGTTGGTAATGATTGTTGTGCAATTTGTACAGCGCGTTCATAAAATGAATGAGCACTTGAATAGTTACCCATACTATCATACACTGTACCGATGTTGTTATAGGAAGCACCCAAATCAGGATGATTGGAAGGAAGTGATTGTTGTTGAATTTCAAGGGCTTTTTCATGAGATGAAAG